GGCCGTTTGTCCTTGTATAACGTTAACCTCCACGCCCAACCGGCATCCTTCGTCCCCAGGCCTTGGGTTTTTGCCCGTTGCGGTACATCGTATCGCCGACGTGCGTCCAAATCGAGGCCTGTTGGTCATGCATATTTAGCATGAAACGCGGGTATTTTCCGCGCAAGCGCCACTGGAGCTGTCCCGTAGGGCTGCACAGGTTGGCACCAAGTCGGGACTCGGCTGTCTAAACCTGGAAACGGCGTTGCAGTGTCGTCCAACCATCAATGCCGAAAGCCATGCGCTGGTGAGGCTGGGTAAGCACTAAAAAGCGCCAAGCCCTTCCCTCTACTCCTGCCGCTGGGGGCGCTGCACTTGATTGCTTGCCGCGTGCTGGAGTGCGAAGAGTGGCTGGGATTTCGACCTGGAGAGATTTTCTGAGTGGTGTTGGAGATGTGTTGGAAAATCTGCCCCTGCGTCAGCGTTGTCGGCTGCCTGCTCCCCTCGAACCAATGTTTGGCGATATTTATCCCACTGATGGAAAGATCCCAGGGTTGCAGGTGGTTCTAAACTTTTGGCGTGCTCAATTGCGACGGTCGCGCGTTGACGGGAGGGAATGGAACGCCAAGACGAAAGATGGCCGAGTGGGCGAAGGCGCATTCTTCAGGACAACGTTCTTCCAGCTTCACTGCTTTTCTGCCGTTCAAGGAGGGTCGCTTGGCCCACAACTTCAAAGGCCCTGATTGGCCATCCCTTGAAGTCGTCCCTCATCAGCCACACCCCCCATTACTCCGACTGTCAACAAAGATGTTGCATGAGTTGAAGTATGCGTGATGCATTACGGTATTACGGTGGACTCCCGTCCATCTCATCTGCGCTAGATATTTTCTGTGATTCGACATGACTGACCAACAAACACAGCTAGGCAACTCGGGGTCCCTCTTGGTCAATCCCCCCCTCAGTGCCACGACTCCATCACTTCTTCGCCCTCCGAGCCGCAACAAAATCGACCACGGCAAAGACGAATGAAATAAAGTGCATTACCCTTCAGTTTTGTGTCAGCCTAACGAACTCTTTACTCTCCCAGGGGACAAAATACACTTACGTCACGATAATGACAAACAACAACGACCTCCCAGCAATCCTATCAGTCCTGAGCCTCTCCTCCGGGTGATCGCAGTCCGTAATCGGCACATTGATGTTGCACCCGTCGAGATAACCGCTCAGGGCAAACGTAAACATGGACAAGATGATTACCAAGCCGGCGGTAAAAAGCTCCAGGATCGCGAGATACAGCGGCGCAAGTCGGGGCACGCGCCTCTTTCCGTCGGCAAGCCCGGCGATCTCCGCGATGTCGACTCCAAGCGCCCAGAAGGTCTAAAGGGTGTTAGAATTTGACCGCATGTCAAGAGGAAATTCCAAGAAATTCTTCGCGTACCGCGACAAATCTCCCCGCTAGTGCTTCGCCATAACCAAACCCGATGCTCGCGGCGTGACTGCATAACCCGATAATCACCAGGCACGCCAAAGCGGAGATTCCATGAGGGACAATTCTCCATATAGCGTGCGGCGACGGGAGTCGTGGGCGTGCCATCGTGCTGGTAGTGTCTGGCGATCAACTATATCAGCGGTGGCGCCGTTAGTAGCCGGCATCAAGCGACTCGCAGTGGGACAAAAATCAGGGACTCAGCTGTCATTTTAATAGGAACTCGCGATTCTCGATTCAGGGGGATCCAGTTTTCTCATTTCGTTAGATGGTTCGATGTGGATCCTTCCAACGCGTCTGGGCCAATGGCCCATCAGATCCGTTGTGTAACGGTGGGTTGTAATGGTAAGGCAGCAATTGCTGCGCCGCTGTCGTGCATTGGAATGAATTCAGGACTCCCATCTGGCATTGGACTTTGGCGGTGAGTTGAGAAGTCAGCAGAGCTGATAATCTGAATCAATGGCTCCAAAAGTACAGCTTCTATCAAATTGATCAATCAGGAGTCAAGAACGTCGCATTTCTAACCCTATTCTTGGCAGGCAATTAACTGAACCCCTGAGCCCCTGAACTTCCAGGTAAACAACAAAATTTTGTACACACAGCGGCCTATTCACTACCATCATGACATTAACTACATGCTGTATCCGTATACAACTCTTCTCTAGGGCAACTCCACCACCTCAGTTCTCCCCCCCTCGGGCCTCGGGGCCTCACCTCGTAAGGACCCCTCCGGCACCGACGCCGGCAACTCCCCAATCTCCCTTCCGTCAACCTCCGCTTGTTGTTTTTCTTTCTCCACCCCACCCAGCTCCGGCTTTCCAATCTCAACAGCGCTTGGTGGGTCGGCACCCTCTTTCCGCCTGCGAAGAAACAGCCACGGAGCAAGCCCAATCAACGCCAATCCGCCCACCGCAGCTCCGACGCCAATCCCCGCCTTCGCACCAGTTGACAAGCCGCCACCTCCCGTTTCCTCCGCGCCCGCTGGTGCGTCCCCATCATTCGGCAACTCTGTCGACGTACTCGGCCTCCTTGGCGTAGGCGGGTGCGTATGGTTCCCCGTACACTTGTACCGTCCCTTCACGACCTTGCCAGGAAATGGTCATCGAACCACGAGCAGTCCATGCTCGGCGCGCCGCTGAGCTCAAAATTCACGGACTCAGACTCCAGGGAGAAGAACTCGACGTTGGTAAAGTCGCCAGCCATGAAGATGGACGCTGCGGTCTTGAGAACATTTGCTGTAAAATTGAGCAGGCGCGGGTTGCCACTGACGGTGAGGTCTGCGTGGATGGTTTGCAGGCGGGCGAGGCCAATGTCGAAGAGGGATTCATTGTCTTCGATGATGAAGGAGCCGTTGACGGAGTTGAGCATGGAGAGCTGGAGGTCGGGGATGGAGTTGGATGTGAAGCGGAGGTCGCTGGTGGGGCCGATGGTTTTTTTCAGGGCGGGGAGGTTGATGGCGGCGAGGCCGGTGAGGTAGGAGCCGTGATTTGACTTGTAGGGCCACCACTCGCGCTGTCCCTCCCCGATTGTGTGGAGCTGGTCGAGGAAGAGGGCGGTTTTGGGCCCGTTCTTGGTCAGGTTCATGTACTGCATAGAGGTCACGGATGACTCCAGTGTCTCAAGGTCGGGGTTGTCGTGGATGCTGAACATCCTTGTATAACCAAGCTTGGGAAGCGATATGGTGCCTAGGCCTGTGTTGTTCCACATCTCGATGGTGCTGTTGATCTCGGTGGCGGTCGAGATGATGCTCGCTTTGCCTCCCCGGGGTGGCAAGTTGTCGTAGAAGTACAAGCCTGAAGAGTTGACCATGTCGACCTTCAGGTCGCTCACCCGGGTCGCGTCGATATTCACAGGGTTATAGGACGGGCCCAGATTCGCGTAGATGCCGTCCAGTGGTCCGGTAGCGTATAGATTGTCCATGATCTCCAGCTTCGGGAAGTCGAACGTGATCGGGTCTGCTGTTGTCACTGTCTCTTGACGTTTGAGCCGGCGTGAGGGAAGGCCGATTGGGATAGGCGCAGCTGGTATCTGGTGCGCGATGCATTCGACCCTGATGCGGCCCGTGATGTTTCGGAGGGTTGAGCTGCTGAAGTTGGGGGCTGCGGCGATGACGCTCTCCTTGGTTGGGTGGTTGGGACATGTCGCTGGCTCGCCCTCGCAGAAGTACGTGTAGCGGTAGACATTGATGTAGATGTCGCCATCAATTGTATCGATGGGGTCGAAGCTGACCTTGGGGGCAACGGCCGTGAAGTTGATGGAAAGGGAGTTCTTCAGTGTCGTTACGCCGTTGACGGGTGTTCCGCAGCTGCTGATGGCGGATGAAGCTTGGGCAGGAGCGGTTAACGTCAGAGTTGATTGCGTACAGTCGATTTCTTGCGCGAGTTAGCCGACACCTGGGAGACGCAAAAGTCGGGGGGATGCTTACGGGCAGCCCCGGGTAGGATGGCCACGGCGAAAGTCGCCAGTCTCAAGGACCACACCATCGTAGTGGTAGGTAAAGCCTGTTGAACCGTCGCATTTCCTGCGGTTTGCGGAGGAGAATGCAGGAGGGTGTCCGCGGGGACGGGAAACATGAAGAGGATTCTCATCAGTCTCCCGCCCCCAGCCTGGGCGAAGCATCAGGCCGTGAAGGATTTTGGCCCAGCGTTGTGGCGTCCACTGACGAATATCTCATGCCGTGTGAGCGGGCTCCCATGTTTACCTCTATTCCCAGCCTGGCTAGCCTTCTGAGCCTGCGTCATGAGACCATTGGTCGGGATTGGCGATCGCTGCAGGCAGATCGAGCAGCCATTGGCCAGAACAGACCACACATGCAATGTGTGCAGGAACTGCCCAGCCCCTTCACCGTGAGGCCCTCGAAACCTCAAGTCCCGAACAAGTGGGTTGCCTTGGCGCACAAGAACATTTTGGCGTCGAGATCGTCAAGTGTTTCGAGCGCGAGGAAAGAAGCTACAGGCGTGTAATGGTGTGGGTTTTCTCGCCCATCAAAGTGGAACCCAAGAGAGCACCGTCCCAAGAACCCGTCCTCACCACACCGGTCGGAGCAGCTAACTTCGAGCTGACTTAAATATCGCTAATGGTTTCAGCCCGCTCATAAGAAAATGCAAGGGGTACTCCACCGACAGAAGCAGAGCTGGTTTTAGACTAGGCTACTGACTGTTTTCAGATGCTCTTGACATTGAACTTGTGCCTCTCGCTGCTTGTAGTCCTCGATACATGTATGCAGCTATCAGGTCGAGAAGCCGGAAGGGATGAGTTAAGCCCCTGGATGCCCACCAGCCGGGTCTTAGCGGCGCGCGTGATGTTAGATGCCAGGAGGTTACCGCGGAGGGAAGAAGTGAGGGCTGCATCACTTTATGAGGAAAGGTATAACATCTCCTATCAGGTACTATAGATCTGACTCCTTATTCGCACTAGACTAGTATGCTAGGCCTACACCATTTTTCCAGGCGATTACCATCAACACCATGACTTTGGGCGTCAAGAACTTTTGTTGGAATCCTGACTCGTCGTGGATGGCAAAAAGACAACAATGCGATCCACCCAGGGGTCGAACCTGGAACCTCCTGATAGCTCGTTTGATCGATCAAAAACGATCGAACTTCGTAGTCAGACGCTCTGCCATTGAGCCAGCGGACCTTGCATCACGAATTGATGGCTCATGACTTTGTGAGACTCACTAATACATATGGGTGACTATCCCTCAGTTTCAACAACGTATCCCTTCCCAGGAATCCAGTTCACCTTCTCCCACAGCTTGTCCATGTCTTCTTCCTCGCCGTCGAACAAATGGGGAGCGTGTGCAGCTCCGCCTTTGGGTATCTTGACAATGAGTGTGAGCATGGAATATGTCATGCGAGGTTCTGCCTCATTCCCATACTGTTGTCGTGTTTTCGTCAGTTGCCTGGGTCTGATGGAAGCTACAAGGGGCGGCCAACTTACGTGTTGCCAAGAGACCTGCGGTTCTGGATTCTTCCCTCTGGGGCCGTTCAGCCAATACACGCTCTTTGCATCGATGTAACCCATGTTCCGAATCATAGGGAGTTTGTGGTGTATACCGTGCCATCTGGGCTGGAATCTCTTCTGCTTTCCCGTCCACTTGTTCCACTCTACTTGAGACTCATGAAAGTCTGAGATATTCTCATCCCAGATCTGAAATCTGCGGGAGAGTCCAATGGCCACTCGGGCGGGATGTTCCCTCCCCTTAACGTCGCCCGATTCGTCCGAGGCATCCGATTGATCCATGCACCATTCTTCCCAAGCCTTGTACGCTGGACTCTCGAGAGCGGGGCGGAATGCAACCTTGAGACCAAAGGAGCGGAAGATTTCGTAAACGATCATGTCGGCGCCTTTGAGATTATCGGGCGGGAGGAAGTGGAGGGCCGTATTGGTTGTGTGTGGGTAGCTGTGGCTGCAGTAATAGCCAAGGTATGCATCTGTTACATTCCAGGCTGTTAGTCCGAAAACCAGAGGTTCAGAGAAAGACGTAGACTTACTCTCGCCCCAGCTCTTGTCAAAGACAATCTCCCGAATCGTGTCGTACATCGGCAGATGCGAAGGATCGAGGGCCGGGCAGCTGCCTCCGAGCTGACCATTCCCGCGGACGCAGTACAAGTTGTATGTCAAGGTGGCGCGGTGTCCCTTGGTCACCTCGAGGACTTCGTGCTCGCAGTCGCTGTAGAAGGCAGCACAGCCGATGGACTGCGGGTCCTTGCCGCTCCAGTCAAAAGTGACAGTCCACCCCTGATGTCGGACCTCAAGCGCCCCGCCATCGTGCTCCAGGGGCAGGCAGACGACCAACGATCCAAACTGAGAGGGGGAGCGCGGAGTGTCAACGTGAGACTTGAACTTGCCGGATGGACCAGAATACACGTTTAGCTTGTACAGCTCGGCCCTCACCGCGCCTGTCGTTGATCCCCGACGCAGCGTAGGAAGCAGCGTCTGAGCAATGGTATCAACGATGCCTAGTTCGTAAGGGTTGAAGGTTGAGGAGAAGCGCTCTGGGTCCAACTTCGTTGCTTTGCGGTAGGACTCGTCGTAGACGTCAACTCCGCCGAGGCCAAAGGTCGCGGGCTGCATGTCGTTGATGAGTTGCTGGAGGTTTTCGCGTGTGTGGGGGTCAAGGGGAAAGGTGAGTTTTGTTTGGGAAGCAGGCGTGGTGATGTCTCGGGGATCCCATCTCAGTTGAACGGGGGCGCTGTGGGTGGATGCCCCAGGAAGTGGAATTGGTCCGCTGTTGGCATCCAAAGCGGGCGACTGGATGGGAATGGTACCTCCGCAGGTAAAGGTGAAGACGGTCTTTTCGATCGCCCCGGACAGGTGGAAGGCTTCCAGCAAGGGGATGAGGCGGCCCTGGGCGGGCCCCGACTGTTCAACCTCGGGGTTGTGCTTAGAGGGGTCCATGATTGCTGTCGCAAGACTTGCTCTGAAGGTTGATTTCTGGGGTCAATGTTGATGGAAAAGTGGTTGCTTTATACCTTGGTAAGGTAGGTATTGTGTTTCCGAGATTTGCCATCCTCCCTTGTAGCGATCCAAACGCCTCGGGGCGGACGTTAGCGTTGGAGAGATTGCATGATTGGTTGCGCCTTCCTTGTGGAAGCTGCGGGGCCTTGGTGCCTGATTTCTGTCTCACTGCACAACGCAGTGAACAGAAAAAAGCTTCAGGGCGCCGACCATCATGACGAACACCATTCAATTGCACGCTGCATCCATTTTCCCTCTGCTGGTCGGTTTCGCCTTCCAAATTCCTGGGAATCGTCGTGCACAAAGCCTCCCCCCTTCACGAGGCCGCTGGCCTCCTTTTCACGTCAGCTCTGGGACTACGCTCATTGGCATGCATATGCACTGGACCAGATTTGATCCACAAAGATGGGTAACCTTTTGTTTGAGAAGTGAGCCTTAGGTCGGACAGTTCCTGGTCCCGGCATGAGTACAACAAGGCGACAATCGCGCGAGCGTTGTCCTCCGTGCTGCTAGCCGGAGATCTCCGCCATCCTCCATCAAGAAGTTCCAAGGTTGATAAGTATTATTGACAACTTTTTAGGTCGTACCACGAGAGATTCCAGAAGCCACAAGTCAATCGATCATACACCACCAGATTGCTCATGGCTTGAGGCATGGCGAATGGCAGGGCACCTCACAAGCCACACCAAGCGGATGGCCAATCACCAGAAGCTAGAACTGTGCTGGCTGCCAGCTGAACTGAACAGTGGTGTCAACAGCTGAAAGACATCATGATCATCACCTGACGATGCCATCAAGGTCCATACGACCATCCCGGGTGGTATCATCTCCTTCAAACGACAGATAAATAACCCCTGGCTTCCTCTCATCTTGTAGCATCAAACTCACCCTCTCATCCTCACAGAGCACCCAGCTGCGAATACCAAATCTTAAATGACAACCATTACGTCACCGAAAATGCCCGTCACCGCCTACCACCCAAACAACGGCTGGCCCCCCTCCCTCCTCGCTCACCCCGCCATGTCGTTCATGCACGCCTTCACCCTCGCCTGGTGCGAAGCCAAGACGGCGCACGCACAGCCTTACACGGAATGGCTTACCTCCGACTTCGAGCTCGTTTCCTACGACGGACACGCGTTCGTGGGCGAAGCTGCTGCCAAGGCGTTTATTGCATCCATGAAACACTACGAGAAGTCGACGGTGGGGATGGATGTGGTTTACATGGAGGACACCGAAGGCGGAGGATATGAGGGGTGGGCAATGGGGAGGATCTATGTTGACTTTGCGGGGGGAGAGGAGGGGAGGGAGAAGGGGTTTGTGGATGGGCAGGGGAGGGGGTGGGATGTTGCTGTAAGTTGGAGCCCGTGAATACCTATGCTGAGTTCAGGGGTATGGATGACTGACTGGTTATGGTTGTAGGTTCCGAGAGCGTATGGGTGTACTTTTGTCAGGGATGAAAGCGGTCCAGTGGGTGGTGTGAAGTTGAGCAAGATGGTTGTGGTAGGGGATTTTGGGGTTGTGGCCAAGGGGGCGGCGAAAAGGGGGAATTAGAATCCAGGGGGCGCTGTTCCAAACGCGATGATGACGGGATGTGAGCCGGGTAGATTGCACCATGCATTATCATAGCGGATAGCTGTCTATCTCAAGCGAAGTGTCGAGTCTTTTTGATGTTATGTGATCAAGTCTTGGCCCTTACGCGTGCCTCCACGTGCGCCCTCTTCCTTTTCCTCACCGTAATTGAGCTATCCCAGATACCAACCTCCCCAGCTGAGACACATATATGCCGGATAATTGATCCATCCCGCTTATATATTGCTGTCAGCGGTTCAATTCTATCCCAGAAAGTCGGCTCGTTCTGATTGGACACGGAGCTTGGGACGAGGACTTACACCACCCACTGACCGATTCGGTCGCTCGTTGACTTCTACGCTCCCTCTTTACGCTCCAATAGGGTTGTCTCCTTGAAGAACGAGCGGTACAATACCGACTCTTCCGAAACGCCAACTGGCTCGGTAGACGCATTGAGAATGTCGAGCTCACGGCCCCATGCGAAATGGTGGTAGTTGTAACCTGCTCGGTATCGTAAGATTGGTATTGCAAATTGATTGAACTCGGATGTGTAGCTCCACTTGAGACTTACCGCAGGTGGTGAAGATTGCCTTGCAGATTAGAAGTTCAACAAGTCTGGTAGACACGCAGGCAGGGGACCGATCTGCCGTGTAGAGAGAGGCGAAAATCTCCAGCCCCTTCTTTCGAAGCTCCTCCTGAACAAGTTGGTTCGTTTCGATACCCATGCCGTAATTCCGAACGTCACGGGTCACCATGTCAGTCAAGAGGACCTTGCTGATCTCAGCAAGGGAAGACGCCATGATGAGCTTATGTCGGAGAAGGTGATGATTTGCTGATGGATGGTTGGTAAAAGCAAAGGAAAGTAAGGAGGACTCATACGTAGAAATTTATAATACTTAATTGCTGTCAGTGAATGACTTCACCCAAGTGAATTCACAGTATTTGCTGGACCTCAGTGAATGATGTTTGGCCTGAGTGTGATGAATGTTGCGCCATCTTCACTGATCACGGTAGGATGAATGGAAGGCTGCCCAGTCGGCTATGCGCACATGGACAGTTGGTGCCAATGAAGATGACGAGCTTTGCCATATTTGAGTTCTTTGCTAATCATTATAGCAGTGAGCATGAGCTCCTCCCTGAATGGGAAGGTCCTGTCGTAAGGTACCAGTATCCTGATCTGGGCGGGATTTAGGTTGTTGTTTGACGGAGGAGAAATGACGGACGGCCAGGCCGGGTGTTTATATCGAAGGTCCTGAGCGGCATCGTGGGTGACTTTGACTTGGTACCCTGGGTAATGTGAGCTTCACTGCAAAAGTTGGGACTCAACTTTCATGAATCGAGATTTCGCTGAGATTTGATGTTGGAGGGCCTAAAATATTAACTCTTTTTTTTTTTTTTATTGTAGTAGATCAGATCGGTCAGGCGTTCCTTCCTGTATTGTACGATGGGCAGAACAAGCACGGGAGGAACGCGCCGACTTGGAAGCCAATGAACTCGAGACACTACTAGCTCCACCAAAGGGAACCAATCATAGCATCGGGCAGAATTGGGCATCTTTAACACAAGGGGTCGCAGTTGCAGAGCAACCAGAATTTACTCCTTTCCCG